TTAACTCGCAACAAGTCTTTCCTCCCCACTCCCCTCCAAAAAAGAAAAAAGAAATGCAAAAAGGTTAATTGGGCTCGTAAAATGGTATGCAGGTGGATCACAGCTCCCAGGACTGCCCTGAGAAAGGAAGCGGGTAACAGAGCCTCATGGACACAGGTCCCTGAACTGTCCCCGTAGAGCTGGTCCCCTTGCCGCCGCAGCCGGGGTCTCCGCTCCTTTTCCGCAGTGCAGTTTTTCTCCTGTTGTGCGCAGGGCTCATCCCGCAGAGTGCCGGGATGAGTGGACCCGCTCGGGGTTGCTTCGGATGCCACCTGGGCCGCGTCGAGACCGCGCCACGCCGGGAAGGTGCCGGTAGGTCCCGTTCCGTTGCTGCTTTGCTGGGCTAGGGGCACGGGGAGACACAGGCCCAACTGGGCCAGGGCCCTTCAGCAGCCCTGGGGGGTGTCCCTGGGGCCCTGCTGGCTTCTCCCTCCCACTCATCCTGACGGCCGCTGTCCTGGGCCTGTAGGAGAAACCCAGCCCCGCAGATAGCAAGGGCTCAAACCTGGATAATTTGTCCCTCCTCTGGGATCCCCACCCTAGGGCCTCCCCATCTACCAGCGGCGGCCCCAGGGTGGGGAAGGGGGGAGCGGGAGATCATCCACCCCCCGCAGTGGGGACCCGCTGTGGGGCCTGGCTGGGACGGAGCAGACTGCCTGGCCGGGAAGCGCTTGCAGAGCCCGTGGGGACATGGAGCAGGGGGTCCCTCCGAGCCCCCCTGGGGCAGGACAGCCTGCCCCCCTGCTGCGGGCGCCTCTGCGCTCGCGGGCGAACACGACATTTTATTGTCTGCGTGCCCTTGGCCTTTGCAAGGAGGCACAGGGAGCCTTGGAGCGAGCAGGACCTGCCTTTTTCCCCAGACCAGGTTGCCTCGCGCTGCGCGTGGTGGTCGTGATGACGGGGCCGGGCGTGCGGGCAGCGTCGCGGGACGGCGCTGCCAGAGCAGGGGCTGTGTTTGCTCGTCCTCCAGCGCGTCACTGACAACGGATCTGGTGCCCCAGGAGCGTCCCGGGGTGCTGTGAAAAAGGGGCCCTGCTCTGCTGCCCTCGCTCCCCCTTGGCGTGGCTGTGCCAGCTCGTGCGAGCAGGATTAGATGGATTTGTCCCCACGTAAACAGGACTCGGGATGGTTTCCTAAAAGGGGTAATGTTGGTTCATTGTGTTACAAAGCATTGGAGCCGGGGCAGGCGATGAGCGGCAGGCAGCCTTTTTTTACCATGCTTTATGAGTCAGGAATATTTTGATTTCTTTGGTGGTGGCGTTTTTGCCTATCTGTCTCTGTGCCTGGAGTAATCCTATGAAAATACTCTATTTTTTCCAAGCTTTGTGCATGTCCTGAGCAGTCGGCGGTTGCAGGCAGCGTCCTGAACGCGTTGGATCAGGTCATGTTCCCGGGGCTCAGAGCTCCGGCACCGGGAATTAAGTTCCTCTAATCGCTCTGTTGGCTTCAAGGCTCTGATTTGCAGAGCAACGCGTTGGATGCAGTGTTGTGCGTTTGCGTTCTTTTTTTTGTTGTTTTTTTATATGATGTTCCTAAATTAAATGCATCACATACTAACTAAAACCAGCCTTTGCAGCCAAGCCTAACTTCCAGGACGGATAAACCATCCGTGTTATTTAGGCTGCTCATGTGCCTGAGCCGCGTGGCAAATCTCTGCGAGGGGATGTGCTCTTGTTTTGGACAGGCGAAACTCGAGGGTGACTTTTCCGGTCTTTGCGGAAAAATAACCACGTCGCTGGTGATCAGGGGAGAATAATGAGCGTCACGGCGGCCGATGCGTGCGGAGGGGCTCGCGTGCGGTGCTCCGCGCCCTGCAGGTGCCGGCTCACCTGGACGGGGCTGCCGGCGCTGCGGGATAGCGAGGAGGCTGCGCCGGGGCCGCGGGGACCCCGGCGGGCCGGGCCGGG